CGGCCAATTGCGGGAAACGATTCAAAGACTTCAATGATGACGAGGATCTTATTTTCGCGAAGGTAGTGCACGGTACCATCGCGCCAAAGGGCACCTACCCCTGGCAGGTAAATCATAATTAATAAATTTGTTCTTATTTTTGCCTTTGCATCTATCAACGATTATTAAAAATTTGAAATTATTTATTAATCATGAGTTACGAGACTTCAGCGTCAATCGTTTGAGCATGAAGGGTTTTTTAAAGGGATCTTTAGGACTTGAAGGACTGAAATGTTTACTAGTAATGGTACAAGTTGGTATTTTCAATGGTAAAGGGCTGAATATTTCACTTTTATTTGTTCCATGGCGTTCTCAAATAACTTTCTGGGCATTCTGTGACATTGGTAGGCCAGCATTCGTGTTCGAGGACACAGCAGGTCGAGCCACTGGTGTGGCGCGGTGGTTCTCTCACCTTTGCATGTGCTCACAGCCGCTCATTGCCTGGAGGGATACAATAAAGGCACCTATTTTGTTCGCGCTGGTGACTATAACACGGAGGTAATTAAAATCTCAGTAATCAATCCTGTAAATAATGACCTCCAGCAGTAACAGAAACGAAAGTACATTTGAAAATACCTAAATGTACTAAAATAAATTTTAGCGGTTGTTTCGTTGAAAATGACTAAAAGATATTTTTACATAATACGAGAAAGACAGTTTATCTAAATTTCTTAATCACTTAGTCTTTCTAGATAGCGAATTATCGTAGGAAGATTGTTATCACGGGAAGAATGGAAAATACACGTTTATTATCTGTGTTAGCTTGATCTAAATATAGTGATTTAAAAATTTGTTGAGTGCGCTTTTGTTTCTTAATTCCATGCTAGATAGATGAGGGGACAGAGGCTGAGGCCAACATCGAAGACTATTACATACACGAGGACTTCCGTAAAGGCCATCGAATGAACAACGACATCGCCCTGGTGTTGCTGAAGGGACGAGGAATTTTCCTTGGCAAGGACATTATGCCAATCTGCCTCCCACCTGAGAATGCCGAGTATCCACCAGGCCTCAACTGTACTATCAGTGGATTCGGTAGCATCGAGACTGGAAAGTCGAGTGAATAATTTATTACAATTTCCACTGACGCGCATCGTCCGTTGGTATTTCTTCGTTGATTCATTTAAAATCACAGAATTTACCGCATTCAGGATTCACTGCTCTGGGTTTCTTATGAATGAATGGGTTTCTTTTTTGGTAATATTTTAATCCTCTTGTTCTTTGCAATGTTTAATATTTGTTTTGACACAAGTTTTCGATTTTTAAAAAATTCTTTCACGAAGATTGGACCTTTCCTGCACATGAGATGGGTTATTTTATTGTTGTAGCTCATTCCAAAGACTTGAGGTATGGCTGGGTGCCGTTGCTTGACCAGTCGGTATGTCGAGCTGATCACATTTATGGCGAGGGTGCAATTAGCGACGGAATGGTCTGCGCTGGATACCTGGACGAAGGTATCGACACCTGCGATGGCGATTCTGGTGGGCCACTAGCTTGCTATCACAATGGTAATGTAGATAAAAATTAAAGAACTACTATTTTCGAAATAATAATAAACTCTACGAGATTCAGTATCATTTTTCTTGTTTTTTTTTTTTTTAAAGGAGCCTTCACGTTGTACGGAATTACCAGCTGGGGGCAACATTGTGGCAAAGCCAATAAGCCAGGCGTTTACGTGCGAATTTCGCATTATCGTCGTTGGATCGATCAAAAGATAAGGGAGTCTTTAGCAGGAAGATAGAGCTTGATTCGACATCCATTTGTAACCTCGTTGCGCGTACAATGAGTTAATCGTGAATGAGTCGAATAATTGATTAAAATATGTACGATACTTAAATTGTTTACTTACTGTGCGTTGATCGATTAGACGCCATATTTTCCTAGTATTAGATTCTTACTGTAAACATAAGTTCGAATGTAAGTTAATATTTCGTTATCCAATAACAATACACAACAGAATTATTTATGTAAAGATGTATGAACTGTTGAAATGATTAGAAAAAGTTCTTTTTTAAATTACAACTGTATTAAAGTTATCTTAATAATTGTTTCAGTATTTTGGAGGGGATAGTTTTATGCCAGTCGAAAGAACACTTCTTGGAGAAACGTCCATTAATCTGTAGTTTATTTCGTAAGACATCATCGTTTCTACAATAATTGTAATTGCTGTCTCGTCGCTGTTACATGATTGAGCCTATTTATGTACAATAGTCCCAACATATTCGATCGGATAGATCAAAACCACGGAAATGGAAATCCCGACGTTTATACAATATAATCGACGCACGAACAAAGAAACGAAAATAAAGCGGTGGGGGAGGTGGCAGGTTCAGGGTGACTTACATTACGAAATTGCAAAAATCGTGTAACATTATGAAATCGTTGTACGCAACATTCAGGCTGACCGATCGACAGCTGGATCGACCGTAAACAATTTTTTTTTATTGACTTTATTTGTAACGCTGGCAGTTGTTCCGTTTAATGAAACGATCGTTTATTTCATCTTACGAAATCGTCTCGCGCTTGTCTTTACAAAAGAAACTCCCAATACATTAATAATATATCAATATGCCATGGTAATACATCGTGATTGCTACAACATGATTTGCTCGATTTCCATTTCAAACTTGGACAAATTATAACATTGTATAAAAATCGATTACTGTAATATAATACTCGTCTCCAATCCCAACCCTTTGATTCGTCTCTAAGAGAAACCATCACCCTATTCCGTGAATTTCCTTCTACAAAATGTGTATTCTCTTACAGTGATACAATATTGAAAACAATATTTTAAGAAAAGGTAAATTTTAAACACCGAAGGCACGTGCGACTTTCAAGGTTTCATTTTTCTTGTACTGTTTCCTAAAATCGTTTCGGTTTCTAAAAAAGTCGATTTCATAGAAGAAGGTTCAAGGAATGGAGCGCTATTTCCTCGCGATTAATACGAAACAGAGTTCGAAGAGCGTCAAGCTTCGATTTTGACGATTTCTGATGCTTGAACTGCACTTTTAAGCAATCTTTTGTTTTTCTTTGAATCCTCCTGAGCCCTCGTTACCCTTTTCAAATGCACATTTTGTAGACGAAGGTTCAAGCAATAACGCGATTACTTTTCAATTTTACGCGACCAGCACTGTAGTACGAAGATGAAACGAAGAACGACACGTTCTAATTGACACAGTGAAAATGCTTTTCAACTTAAAAACTAATGGCAATCGATCTCACGCCGAAATCCTGCAACGGACGCAAAGATGTCGATTGTTATCATTGTTTTTGTTCGACACCTTTGATCCGACGGTTCTATACAATCGATCGTTCTATGTACACCGATGAGATATATTTCTTACTTTAAAAAGTTTCAACTGTAGATCCAAACGATGATGAAAAAAAGGACAATCTAGCTGTCGATCATTCAACCAATTACATTGATTCTCTCGTTTCTGCGGTGTTCAATCGCGAATCTAAAAAATGAATCGCATTTGCGGCGTTGAATTCTATGGATGAAAGTACACGGAAATCGATCGCGGTTCATCTCCTGTCTCCAAGGATCTATATCCATCGCCATCGAGAGAAAACGAACGACGTTCGTCGCGGGAGTGTTGCTGAATGGAACAGGGGTGAAAAATAGAGAGAATTACACGCAAGCAAAATCGGTGAATGAAATCTGCTGAGCTACGCAAACCTTTTAAACGTCTTAGAATTAAGGGAATGTCGACCAAAAAATACGCTTAATATAAAACTTAACGTTAACTCTAACCCGAATACTCTTAATTTAGGCATAACGCGGCCCGTGTCCTAGCTTCAGAAAAAACGCGTCCTCTTTCTTGGCTGTAACTAAATTTTGCTGGATTTATTACAATATATTCGACTTTATTAAATTGTAACGATAGGTGACCATTGTTCGCGTTGGTTTAATTAACTATCTGGTTTGTAATTAACGTGTCTTACAAATTGTGAGTGTATCGTTGACAATCGCATTTATTTTTGTAATCTGCACTCTCAGGCAAATATATTTAGAGGTACGAATAGTGGTTCTCCATATGCATTATACAATATTGAAAAGAGGATAACAATATTGCACCTGACTACCTGGAAGGATATGATACATCAGGTGTTCCATCACCTTCGAGCATCCTCATTCAAATCTAATAGAATTCCTCGAAGTGAAGAGTCGATTTCCAAATTTAACGAATATTTCCACCCAGCAAGAAGTCTGCCAACGATGCATGAGAAACCAGCAGACAGGTGCGCGTGGTTTCCGACCTAGAACACCGACACGGGCCCTCGACTAACGATCTAATGACTAGACAGTAAGCAAGTGTTCGTATTCTCTTCCAATCAATCAATCGTTCGAGGATGAAGGTTCGTGTGTACTATAAGGTATCGTTAGGCGATCTCAGATCGACCGATCGGCGATTATCGTGGTCGACAGGCCTTCGACGTCGACGCACGACGTGACGTTGAGAAGTCGAGGACACCTTGGTGCCTCAGCCCCTCCCATCTTCTTCGCCGTGGTACCACTCTTAAGTTCGATTACGGCCTATCCAACCTTAGACTCTAGATAACGCATAGATATACGCATATGTTTATGTGTCATATAACTATATATATATACAGGATTTTTTTTGTATGTACAAGAAACGCAACTGTAGGCGTTTGTCACGTAGCTTCGTGTCCTCGCGAAACCATTCGATCGCGACAGTTTCTAATTCTCATGATTCATTTGTTTCTGTTTTTCACTCGTCAGCTCGGTTATCGTGGATCAATTTTTCGCGCGGCACTCGAGCGATTTCCTGGCTGGTCGATGACCGTTCACCTTGTCATCACGCGGACGATCGATGTTCTGCTTCTCCATTTCTCTCTTCCTCTATCTCCCTTTCTCCCGTTTTCGTGTTACAAAAATCGTAGAAAAAAGCGATCGGTAGAAAATATTACAACGACCAGTCGTGCTGCTGCCCGCTTCTCCACCTCGACGTCGAGTCGGGGATTCCCTCGTTGAACATGGGTCTGGTAACGACCATTTTGAACGATCTTACGGCGCGAATTCGCCGCATTCGAATCTTGACAACGCCACGCGGATGCTTACACGGTAACACTCATTAATTATTACGAACGTTTCGTACCGTTGTATCGTGTATACTTTTATGATAAATGTGCATGGATAATTGTCGACTTCGTTCGGGATTCTGAGGGCTCGTTTACATTGCTGCTACTTTTTGAAAACCTAAATCTGATTCGAGACTGTTGGTATATCATAGAAAGCTTTTCGTGAAGGTATATTATTGCGTTTCGATTGGGATTTATTACAGTATTAATTGCGTCAGAGTTGAAGAACAGTCTTCCATTGGTCGATAGTTTATCAGTGGTGCACATGATTTATTTCATCAAATTGTGTTTATACCATACGTCACGTAGTTAACAGATTCTTAATGGGGTCACGTCGAGATAAGCCTTTACGACGAGCACTAAAGTATTCGATAAGTTAACAATTTATTTCTATGTAATCGATATCAAAATTGGGCTTTATAAAAAAGAATGGGTATATAATTCAAGCATAGTGCAGCAGTGTAAACGTGCCCTATCGTCGGAACATTCTTCGGGCTACTGTGTTGCCGAACTCCTTTCTCAACCTTAAAAGTTTTCGAGAATCTTGAAAAGGTTATCCGGCGACATCGATGGAATACATTGGCAACTAAAGTAGTATAAAATAGATAAGATTTAAGATAATCGAGCATACATACATATATGTATAAAGTACTTATGTGTAAGTCCTCCAAAGTCAGAGAGGATTAAATTAAATATAAGAAAAGTAAAAATAAAATATGTTACAGTTATCGAGCGTAATACTAAGATCTAGTTTACATACAGGCAATACATTCTTAATGTAAAATGGTATTAACAACGTGCAATTGAGTACGAAAGTAGTTAATTCGGTGCTTCTATGAAATTTTCTTTTCAGAGTGTTTATATCAACAAACCCATTTTTATTTAATCACGTGTGACTTCAGAACTGAATTAGCGTTGGTTTAAGTAAAAAGATAAAATGGTGCTTCGACTCAGATTAGGTCTGAATTAGGCAAAGATAATTGAAATCAGCACTAAATGTACACGATTCGATACAAAGATGTTCATTCTATACTTATCAGTGATTTTATAGAAACAGTGAATCACTTTCCTCGTGGTATGTACATCTAAACTTTATCAAAACGATGATATGGAAACTTTAGTAAAATGTACAGTAGAAATTGTAATACTGTAGGTGAACACGTGCGTCGATGGCGATTTCTAATCGTTAATCTTTAAAAAAAAAAAGAATAAGGTTCGGAGAAAGGTGTCCGGCGTACAAATGGTGTTGTTCATTTTTTGGCTCGATCGATGAATTATACTTTCTTTATCGCGCGATCTTCGCGCAGACTCTGGTTCGTTCTCGTACATACGACGCTACTCTGTTGCATATAATACACATTTGTTTCTCGTACTGAGAGAAGAACGCGAAATACATATCGTTAAAAGTATCAACAACTACGACCAAAGATTCGCATCGATTAATCCTGTAGCGTAAAATGCTCGGTCCATTGAGACGGACTGGTGTTACATAACGAACAAACCTTCATTACGTACCATTAAAACTATTTAAAATTAATTACAATCGAAGCCTTTATCACGGAAACGGTCGATAGAAATGTAGAAAAATATTTTGCGTTTTTAAAATATCGTGTATCCGTACGATTAGTATAAATAACATAGGAACGGTAGAACGAAAGAAAAGTGTTACATAGAAAACTACAAATTAAACGCGCCAGAAGAGCTGCCCGTTGACGTTCGCATAATTTAAACGCTTCTTAACAAAGACCTACGACGAATAGTACGAAAATAAAATCACTGATAAAATTTTTCCTACGCGCGTGCTGATTACGAGAATCGCTCGACGGTGAGTACATAAATAATTAAATTAAACGTAAACAATCTATGATACACTTCACAGCGAAAACAGCTGTTCACGTCCATTTTTCTCACCTGCGTGCATAACGCGTATGCAATGGAGAACCGGTGTATTATCATACCCAGTTTATTCCGCAGATATCGCAAAAGATGAGAACATTCGACACGTAATCGTGTAAAAATATACGGAAATTATCTACTTAAACGCCTAATGACTGCAAGGTTTCTCTCAGTACGCGAACTTACGTATTAGCGAGCGAAAAGTTCAACGGTTCTGCTTCCCTCGCATTTCCCTCTCCGGATCGCGGGGCGCACGCGGATTTTCCGTCGCGTATCGCAGACGCGGTTTATACACAGGAAAAACGAACTCTTGGTCCCTATGTTTTCACAAAACTCTCCCCAGAACCCTCCACGCCCCCTCTGGTTTCCTCATTGTTTCTCTGTCCGTCTATTACGAGTTCATTCAGGCAATGAACGAAACAAAAGTATCGAATCTCGGCTGGATCGATTCTTCGCTAGGAGCGAGCGCTGGTAAATCGAGATCGTCGAAGGAAAACATAAAACGTGAATCAGTGACGCGCGTATGGAAACGGTTCTTCGACGATGTAAAAAACTGTGTTTCTGCGAGGATCGCGAGGAACACATTCTTCTTGAAAAACTGAGTCGGAATAGTGGAGTAAAAGTTGCTTGTAGGAAGGGTAGTTTTCACAGTAATCGATTACCCTCTGTGTCTATTAAAGAAAGTCTAAATGAAATGATAGGTTTGATGTTTTCAAATAAATTATTCATTATAAAAATATACACGTGTAATATTTATTCATGTATATATTCATAATAAAACACTTATTTGGAAACATCTAACCTATCATTAAAACGATTCTTGTAATAGACACCGAGGGGACTGACTTTATATACGTGTTTGTGTGTGTATTTTGCGGTATACAGGTAATATTTCAGAAATTCATTGACCAACAGAAAATACGTAAGAAACATTCATGTGAATATCTGTCTCATTTGATCTTAGCTTAGAGATTAGTGAGTTCTATGTTTGAGTAGTTTGAGTAAGATCAAAGAGTATTAATAGAGCATTCAGGTCATTGACTGTTTCCTCGAATATCTAAATTAGGGTCGTCCCCAATATTAATATTTCACCACTGAGTCCCAAGAAAGGGCGATCACTGCAGAGAATTGCTGACCTCCCTCGACAAATGACCAGAATCAGACCCGACTAACGATCAATTAGCAAGGTAATGAAGCTCTACCGTGAAGAACCGTAACTAAACACACGTCACCGCGAATGAAGCCACATATCGTCAATGCTGGCAAGATGTAAACGCTTCCCGAATAACTGCACGTGTGTGCGCGTTGCGAGCGAGTCGTATATCCCTGTTGTATCGATGATTGCGTCGAAACGTTCCAATCGTATCTCGTTCGTTAAGTACGTGCACGATGACCGTCGTCCGCTACTACGTATCCTAGAATCTTAAAACAACCTCCAGCTTACTCTACAGGAACGACCCTATACTTTTTTTTTTCTCAACCATCTTCTTCCACCTGCATCCCTCTGTCCACACCTAGGAGTTTCGTTAGCGTATATCAAAAGGACTATGTACAAAAGGGTCGGCCCATCGAGAACGATCCCTCGAGCATCTGTCGAAGGTGTCCAAGAACTCTTTCTCGCTGGTCCTCGGGCTTAGGAACTATCCTTACTGCTACGCGATACTGTCCAGTGAAATTTCGCGCTCCGACGGATCGATCGTCTCGTCGATCCGCGGACGACCTCGACCGACGCGGTCCTCGCTTTCAACGATCGTGGAACGCTCGAAGTCCCGCGACTGGTTCGTCTGAGAGTCTTGGAACTTCGACCAGCGTTGACGCGTTGACTGCTAAGCTGATTCCGTGCGAGTTTCGTCCACGTTGATCTCGTGAAACTTTCAGGATTGTTCACAATTAATGCTCCCAACTAGAGACGGATTGAGATTGTGCAGACCTCCGTGTTACAAGCACTGTGATGTCTTGTGGGGTGTGGGAGGTGATTCAGGAATTGATTTAGCAATTTTTCAAGATTCACACTTTTTCAAGTTCGTGGAGAACGTATGTCTTATTTGATCTTGTTCGGAATCTGATTGACTATCAGAGAATACTGATGGTCAGGAAATGAAATTGCAATTGGAATTTAAGCATCTCTTATGAAGGTCAAATACAAGGTAACACACATTTTTGCTCGAACAATCCCTGAAATATTCCCCATGAATTATGAGACGTGTACACATCGTCCGTTTTTGCCACAGTTTCCTACAAATATGTACACAGTGTATCAATCGAACCCTCTTTTACCATTTGCAGTCCAGATTTTCTGATTTCAGTACAGTTCTGTCAAGTCTCACTCGACATAGGACGGCAAAGGGTTAAATAAACAATTTGAAGTACTTATACTTTGACACAACTGTTGCACAACAACTTTTCATTTAGACTTTGAATATTCTCCAGCAGAGGAATATCCTATGCTATAACCCTTGAAGTCTTTATCTCAATCCATCCCTGTTTTAGTCTCAATACCTTCACTCTTTCCAAAAGTTTTCACAGCGCGCGCTAATATGGGAAGCACACACGAAACGTATATAGATAAATATTTCATAAATTAACACAGTAATATTAATATTTTATTTCTCGTAAGTGCATATATTCTGCGTACGTTTCGCATATGGTTTTCATATTCCATGCACAAAATCAGCGGTTTAATTACACCCTGGGAAACGACGTCGCAATACCGAAACATTAGCGTTAGTCGTATACGCGTAACGTGGCCGTAGAGATGGAGAAAATTTTATTCGAGTAACGAATAAAACGCACAGCAATTGATTCGTGACGTTCAATTGAATATTCTGCATGCGTCTTGCAAATCTTCGCATATTCATTGTAATGTACTTCAAATTACAACTAGTATTTAACGATTAACGGATGAAGAGTTGTTTACGTTTATTCGTTTTTCGAAATTTGTATCTAGAAAGTGTTCGGTCCACCTCTGCGTTGCAGTCGACGCGTCGAAAGCGCAGCTAAACGCAAATGACGCTGTGTATTAGGCATCTTCAAGCGTTACAGAACGTGGTAACGCGTCATGCAAGGAGGAAACATCAGTTTACCGCGTACAGGGAAAAAAAATGTTGCCACGCAGAGCAAAAAAAGAAGTTGGCTTCGTCGGAAATCGTCGACGACCGCGTCGGTTTTCCTAGTACCTAAATGATGTCCTTAACCGATGCGAGATCACTACGTTGAATTATTCTTCTTTTACTTTTTGCGTTGTTCTCCATCGCGAGCTAATCGCTTCGGAAGTTTTCTCTTCGTCCTTTCACAAGCTCATCGTCCTTTGCGAGTCTCTCGTTCGCCAAACAGCATTTCTTCTTGCCTCCCCTCGATCCTCGCGGAGGCTGACCTCATTTCGTAGAAGATTCGTGCGTGAATATATTAACATTTATATGAGTGCGTCTATTTATATACCGGTCCGTCAATATCGCTCCCATTCGACGCGTTGCACGGTAGCTCGTTTTCACTGAGCGTTCAGCTCCGACCTGTTGACACGAAATTGTCAGAAAGAAAAAGGAAACGTTAGAGATGTTTGTGGTCCATAGTCGTTGAAATTACTTACTTCAAAGATTTATAACGCTCCTTCTCTGGGTTGTTGTCGGGTGGCTCGCACTCGAAAGATGCCAACGCCAGAGCTGTGGGAAAAATGACGAAGACGAATTGTTATATTTTTTTAAATAGAGTTAATAATGCTTCTTCCGTAATGTACGATTAGTATTTTCAAAAATTTACTATTTAGTTCCACTGATACCTGCAATACAACCTCTACTGTTAGTAGATATAGAGAAAATGGATAACAGCTATGATTTAGTAATATTAACTTTTAAAACTGTTTATTTAAATATATAAAAAAAATGTTACCATTTTCGGTCAGCACCGGGCTCGCCTGAAGAAAGGCAATGACACGAGGATTCTTCTCGAAGGGACACGCAACTTGCTTCCAGGCGATGAATTCCGTCACTTGCTTCGCCAGCTGCCAGAATTTCTCGAAGTTAATGTGTCCATTCGGTAGCCTGGAATGACAATTATACAAAGAACAATTAAAACTTAATATCTCCGATATAATTAAATATTTATGATACGTACAGTATCATTCAGTGTTCGGTTAAACATTAATAACAATTACGGTTCAGAATAAGTATTCATTCGAGACATTAATCGTGAGAAATTTAAATATTAATATCTGACAGTAGTTAAATTAATTATTAACAATATTTATTATTTAAACACTGATGGGGAATATGATTATGCTGTGGTATTAATGTTCGAAAATCGATATGCATGTGTAGAAATCTCATTTCATCTTGTCTCGTGCGCGTTACTATTCTCTACGGAATAACCGCTGCTTGTTATTTTGTAAAATTAATTTCGGATAATCCCAGTCGCATTAGCACGCCCGTGAAACGCATTGATAGGTTAAGTTAATGGGCCAGGTCCATAAATTTCAAGCTTAGGACGCATTAATCAATCTTCGGTCTGACGTATGCTTCGATTGATTCAGAATTAATGAGAAATGCTTTCAGTTGCTCGTACAAGATTGCAATTAATATATCGTTGAGCTGTGTAAAAAACGGAGAGCGTTGATTTCTACAAAAGTAGTTACATGAAGTCGTCCAGGTTTTAGATCTTCGACGTTCGATCTTTTTTTTTTACAAATATTGCTTTAATACTGTTTTTTTTTTAAGTTAAAAATGCTGAAAACATTATATCCTTCCTAATGTCCAGAAGTGAATCTTAAGACCTGTTCTCGTTATATTTTTTTTGTTCAAGTTTACTCGAAGTTAAATTCAAGTTTCATCTTTCGCGTGATATAAAGCAGAATCAATGATGCGCCTAACCAAGATCGTTTGATTACTCGATGAACGAATTTCAGCAACTGATTTCCACCTCACTGTGTACTTTGTCTGTGCAGAAGTTAATATTGAAACTGAATATTTTACTGGGAAAAGGAAAGTTTAGGGGAAGGGAGGCTTTTCGAGCTTCTTCATTTTGCAATTTCAAGAAGTGGGCTCAAAGTGGTCAGTTTGGGAAGAAAACTTGGAGAGTTTCCGAGTAGTCCCTTCAAGTTCTATATACTCTTCGGAAGAAATGTGATTTTATGCGCAAACAATCTCGAAACTTTTTAAAATCATTCTCAAGGAAATGGAAAAGGAACAAGCTTGAGGTTAGGTGACTTATGAAACATTTTAATGCAGTAAAATGATAAGTGGACATCGCACTTAAAATATATAATGAAAATATGACACCTGTTTCTATTGATATAAAAAAGAATTGGATTTTTATGTATTGAAAATCCTAATACGAATTTTACTTTAATTCTCCACTTCTTCAATATTATCTAAATTGACTCCAAAAGTGCGATAAACGATCTTTATCCCCCAACAAAAAATCTAGGCTACTTTATATCTGAAAATATTGTCTGTATACAAAGTATTCAAAATATGTTTGTGGTTCCCTTGTAGTTCCTTTTATTTTTGTTCTATTCAGATAAGAATTTGTTTAGATGCATCCCTTCCTTCGATGGACAGTATCACTTTATATCTAAAAATATTGATTACAAATACAAAATTCAATATCCTCATAATTTCTTCAAACTCGTCTAAATCAGATGAAACCTCCTTTCCCCCACGACCCAACACGACATAGTACACAATCCACCGTGTTGACTCCCCCTTATGCAATCGTAAATAACTCTGTCCAGTCAGCGATTACCTTATACCTTAACCCCAGATCCGTCCACCGATCCCCAAATCCGTTTTCTATGCACCATCTAATAAGGAAAAAGGTCCGCAGCCAATTATCCTCCCTCTTTCACAATAGACGAAATCCGTAATGGAATTTCGATCCAGGAAGGTCCCAGGAAACGCGATCTCTAGCGTGATGGAGGGGCAGAGGGTGCCTGGATATCACTAGGGAAGATAGGTTTCTTCAGACCGCCGATGGATATTGGCCGATCGGAACATCCACCGACCGAAGACGAATAGCCAGCCGTATGCAAATGTATGTTACGTGCGCGTTAGGCGGACGTCGCGTAGTAGGAAACGAGAGCTGTTGGCGCGCAACTTCGCGTACTTCTGACTCGACGATAAATTGCTCAAGTTCGATTCGTAATTTTCCGATGGCCTCCCCCTCCTTCTTTCATGAAAGACCCGTACGTGACTGCGTGGAGCCCTGGTTGTTGTATCGTTACTAGGAAACTCGTTCCAGGACCGATTCAAGTCGTTCCTTTTTTCCAATGGGTGTCGACAAGTTTCGAGAAGGTCCTGAAAGATCCCCCACGCCCTCCCTGAAACTCCAACGCTCCTCGTTTTACGGGCAACTGATATATTCTTTTTTTTTTCGCCCCGTGATAATTTGTACTGGGGACAGATTTTATTTTTGATGGCGAACTTTGGCAGGAATTGTAGAGGGTGAAGTTACGAGGAACGGATTTTTCGAAAGTGCATGGTTTTCCTTGAAATTTTCTTAACATACAGAAATTTAAGGGAAACCTGTAATTAATATTTTGGAAATCTAAATTAAAAGTTACAGAGGCTGGAAGTAGAAAATATAACTAAACTCCAAGCAGTTTGAACAATTATTTTCTCCTCAATCGGTACCGGATCACCCACAGATAAATTATATTTTTATCTACTCATAGTATTCTTTAATTTTCAATTTCGTTTCATTATACTTTATGTACATTCAGGTTGAAACAATAATAAATATTAATCCCTTAGATATTAATAACAATCACGGTTTAGAATAAATATTCATCAAAGACATTAATCGTGAGAAACTTTTCTATATTTTTATATCGATTGATTTGAATAACTAAACATTAATTTCTGAAAATAGTTCAATTAAATATCAACAATACTTATTACATAGTGAATGATGGATCTATCCGTTTTTTTACACTGTTTACCACCATATTTCTAAAAAAGAACCACTTACAGATATTTAGAACATTAAGTGCTTCCAATCTATGGAGATTTAGAAAACCCTTGCGCAGCTTTCAATTCTCGTATTCCTCGAGCTGCCTAACCTCGTGATGCACAGTCGTTCATCCGCAGGCTGCGTGCGACTCGAAGCAATTTGTATTCTCGTGTCTGCACGGTGATCTGTTCTTAGAATTCATGGGAACGTTTTCGGGCTGCTCAGACGATGGCTGCCCTAACATTCTACCATTCCTCGTGCCTCCGCCGTTTCGCGGATAACGCGCGCCGTTATGAGTTTAATGCACACATGTTACGCGCTCCAGTCACGCAGACACACACACACACACACACACACACACACACACACACACACACACACACACACACACACACA